TTCAGAGGGTGAGCAATCCAATCAGCACCATTCAACATTGTAGATGACCAAAAAGCAACTATCATTGGGCAAAAAAATCTCCCGAAAAATATCATCAAACTCGTACAAGGCAAACCAAAACACAACTAGTAAGTAAACATAAATGAAAAAGCAAAAAAATCAGACGAGAAAATAAAAAACTGGTTCGAAAAATTTCTCGGCAACTTTGCCAGGGAATCGTGAAATCAAAAACCACTCAATGTGAATTCAATTCATTCAGGATACCAAACCTATCCAACAGAAAGGCCAAATAATACCCATCCATTTACAGGAATTAATGGAAACTGAACTGAACAAACTAATAGACCAAAAGCATATCAAAAAGCTAGACAAGCATTCAGACAAACCATTCATCAGCACAACAGTCAAAAAGGGTCTAAAGATTCTCACAAAAACTAATACATCAGGCGTTAAAGAAACTAAATGAATAAAATCTAGCAATTTCCCTGGATAAATGGAAAATCGCGTGCGAACAAGTCGAGGAACTTGGCTACAAAATAATTAGACAAGGCATAACACCACTATCACGAAAAACAGAAGCAATGTAAAAACTCTCCAACCCGAAAACATCCACCCCAAAAACAACTAAAAAAATTTATTGGGTCAATTCATCACCTCACTAGATACATTCCAAAGAATAAAAAATTAGCTTCTACATTAAAACAACTGCTGAAAAACTCAAAAAAGCATGAAACATTAGACTAGAAGCCGGAACAAACATCAGCTTTCCATGATAATCTAAATTTGTATCATAAATAACCGAAATCAAACATTTTGACCAAAGTCTAGAAACTCGGCTAGTCTGCGACGCATCTACATTTAAACTGAAGGAATTTTGAAGAAGTTTGAGTAGCAATAGCTCGCGCTTAAAGATTCCTTATTTCATTAGAAGAGAAATACTAGGTAAACGAATTAGAAATATTAGGAGTCGTTAGCGCAATCGTACACTTCGGATGTAATCTATACTGGAAAAATTTCACAGTCATTAGAGATCATCAAGCTTTGATGAGCCCTTTAAACGCCAGCGAACCATCAAATTCAAGCCAAAGCATGCTCATTGGGTGGATCGATAGGTTACTCCCATTGACATTTGACATCAGACATTTAGCAATAACAAGAAATGAATTAATTGAAGATATGTCCGGTATGAGTAGCTTTACCTTCCCCCCGTGAGTATAACAAGGAAATTGTTGTGGCATCAATTAACTAGTTCATTTCCAACCTTGGATTGATTGAAAACGTCATACTGAACAGGCTAGCCAACCAGAACCGTGCCCATTTTCTGTTAATCAAAAATCGCGCAGAATATAAAAGGAATGGAACAGCTCAATTAACATGTCAAGGGCATTTTAACCATTCTAAACATTACACAAACGGTCAATCAATTCAAAAAAAAAACGCTCACCTCACCGATCTCACTCTCAAAACTTAGCAACCAAATTGTCAAATAATCAAAAGACAATTTTTTTCATCGCCGAGATTCAACAATCGCATAATGAGACTACAAAATGAAACAAAAAGCCCCAAAGGGACATTAATCCCCGATAGTGCACAGACCCACGGGGAGGCTGTTTTTCGAAAACATCCCCCAGAGAACGAAACTCTGAGCGCGTGTGAAGAGGAGAGTTCGATCGGGAAGAGAGCCTGTCGGACCCACTTTGAAATAGAAGAAAGCAAACGACCACGTACGAACTCTGGACGACTCACTCCACGACAACAAGCTAGCCACCATCAACATCAAGCTCGCCGCAAACGGTTCGAGCGAGACGCCAGTGAACTTATGCCCATCAGAAAAACGCTCAAATTTTCGAAAATCGTGTTTTCGGAATATTCAACAACGAGATAAAGACCAGATGGAAACTAGTAGGAACTCAAAAATTCTCGCAACACGCAACTGAAAAACTTGCGGAACACCACAACTTCCCTAGCAGATACATCCGAAAGGATCTGCAGTCTACCAAAAGCCAGAGAGACTCAAACTGAGTCAAAGAAAAAAAGAATCGAAAAAACAAATACAAAATCGACGAAAGCCTTAACCGACATGCAACCACAGACAAAACTCTCAGTAGAGGTAAACGAACAGTTCGAGTACTGCGTCAGTAGAGCTGACTTGCAACATGGTGGCCTTGAGGAAACTTTACCCAACGCGTTCCCACCGACCATGTCCGGCACTCAATTAGAAGCTAGCATCGAAATGATTGTAGCAATTGTCGTAGAGACAGCAGACGGGGTCACAACAATGGAGGCGGAAGATGACACGCCACTCTACCGAAAAAAAATACAAGTCGCGGCCACCCGCAGGAAAAGAAAAATTAAACCGATAGTCAGTTTCGTCCAGAAACGGGACTGGAAAGCAATCTACTTAACCGACTGCACGTCAAGGACAATTGCCTCCTATTAAACGACCAGATAATCATCCCGCAGCATTGCGGCAAACCGTCCAGCCTACATTTGAACCATCCGGGAGCGGCGGCGATGCTCGATTTGAGCGAAAAAATCTGGTTTCCACGTATCCACCGCACAATTGTACAAATGGCTCAAAACTGCCGACAGTGCAAAGAGCAGTGTACAAACTTAAAACCGGCAATAGAAAAACCACATTCATTCCAAGTGGGACCAGTAGAAGAACCAAATGAGAAAGTTCAAATATATTTTGCCGAGCCCCTCCCAGACGAATTGCATAAAGACGCATACATATTAGTCGCTGTAGACAAATCGACAAAATTTCTTAGAGCAAAAGTGATCTCAATTACTACGGCCGATAAAGCAAGAAAATTCATGCAAAGTTATATCTGAAACAATGTGGTATCTCAAAAACTTGGGTGTGCTCAACCACAAACGCTTAGAGCCAAAAATTTCTGCTTTTTTTTCAAATCCAACAAAATTGAAATCTTTTTGCACCGGTTGATCATCACAGATCCATAGGGATTGTCAAAAACTTAATGCAAACACTGAAAAAAGAGTTGGGGTTTATTCGAATAGACACTTATAACACCCCCAATAAGTTTTCTCGGACGTAGCTGAAATCATAAAACATTATGAATAACGTCACAAAAAAAACAATAAAAAAATCTCCCATCGAAGTCCAAATGGACCAAAAACCCAATACATCACTATCCAACTTAGCCACAACTAGCTTACCGAATAATCTAAGCTGGAAAGATGGAAAAGCGCTGGCTTAGAACGGAAAAACCTGATCTGTCCTCTACTTCAACCAGATATCATGCACGTCTTTCAATGTTGATCTGAATCGGAAAAAAACACGATGACCATTTAAGAATCTCCCCAAACCATCGAACAAATCCCTATGAAGAGTAAAACAGGTGTGAGAACAAGATATTCAATAGCTAACAAAAAAGAAGCCTTAAATCTAAGATATAATGGAACACAAAAACAAGCGGACACAAACATCAAAAAACCAATACAGCAGGTAGCTCAAAAAACTGTCGGTATCGCGACAAAAGTTAAAGACCCAAAAACATTTGAACAAGCATACAAAACAATAGATGGTAGGATTTTTATCTATACACCACACACGGCCTGGGTACAGACTAAGGTAAAACAACCTCGCTTACTAAGAAACAGTGGTTTCGCATTTGTACCAAATTCAAAAGGATACGCACCATGCAGACCGTCACAGCTGAGCAACTATGTAGCAAATATATATGCTAGGAAAACAGGGACATGCTTACCTTTTTTAGACATCGAACTACCAAATGTACCCAACATGAAAGGTTGAAAGAGGATGCCATGACAAGACTTCCAAAGAACTTCCAAAGAAGATGTCCCTGAAGGAGCTACAGATCAAGAAGGACGCCGACGCTGAGAAGAAGCAAAAAGCAAAACCAAAGACAGGAAAAAGGACGGGCGGATAACCCAGCCCCAGGCAAGCCAGAGGCATGACACTAAAAAACGCGGAGAAAAAGGAAACCGAAACGTAACCCTCATCAAGCGATGGATGGTCATCCACTGTCTCGGAGAACACGGCACCCTCCCCAAAACGATAGACACAAAAAAACACCGGCGCTGCAACCTGCACTGACACGAAAATCTTCACGGAACCGACGGGCCACAATCACAACAGCATTGGGAAACACAATCCCAAAACATACCATTGATTCGCCTCGATCTTTTTAATTGCGTCTGCAGAGCGACAGAACAAGGGCACACAACAAACCAAGGGAACCCCAGGCAAAAGTTTCATACGTGAAGTGGGGTTTGAGAATGATTCCCGGAATTTGTCGCATGCGTAAAATCCCTGGAAACAATCAAATCAAGACAAAAATACAGCGAGGCAATAAGAATGATAGAGTTAGTTACCACTTCGGAAAAACCAAAGAAAACAACACACACTGAAAACATAATACCGAAAAACGACGCAAGTACCACAGAGGAACAGGTGAAAATCCATGGGTAGGGAGAACCCCAAACAGCGCCGTCGACCAAGGACATTACGTTCACAAAAACAACACCCGCGGAGGCAAGAATACATCCACAGAGCAACACCAGAGACTAAAACTGAGGAGGGGCAATCAAATAAGTCTCACAGGGACAATAAAACTCCAGTCCCAAAGGGACTATAAAACTCATTTTTGGTCCCACTGGGACGGGAAAAACTCCGTTTATTTTTATGAGGGGGAATGTCATCCGGTCGGATTTGCACGAACCATTTTCAAGTTTTAAAATTTAAATATAATTTGTGTATAGTTAGCCAGAGATCAGTTGGATGGCCTTAAAGATTAAAAAAGCTCATATCGCTGAGCGATAACGTTCAGTTGGTGTTAATTTCATATTTATGTTCAGTTACTTTTCTTAAGCATACTTATTTAGTCCTCATTAGCCAATCCGTTCGGATCCAATAACAGATTATACAATACGGTGTGATAGTTCAATTGTATCAAATTTTTCTTGTTATTTTCACAAAAACAAGCATTTGGATATAAGCTAATCGGAAAACTAAGGTGACCGAGAATGGCTGTACGAAACTCATTTGAAAGCAGTCAAGGATCGAAATTTGACATCTATGCTTCACATGTTCAAGCATTGCGAAGACTTTGGTCTGGACAACTTAGTACGAGTCATGATATGGAAACTTTCATTTGAAGAAGTAAAAGTAGACAAAATCGATATGGAATTGATTATGTCGCATATTTTGGGGGACAGAATTATTTATGACGAACGTGATTATTTGATATTGTTTGGCGCTTTCCCGCAAATTGAGTGGTTACCGGCTCTTCTAACGCTTCAACTTCGACAAGCGATCGAACTGACTGTTGCCGATCGTATCGAGATTCAAAAGTTTTTGGCAGGCATTGACAACAGGCCTTTGATGCGACTATTAAGCTTGAAGTTACATCAAGATAAAACCTGTGACTGCAGTTTGGATGATATCAAAGCTCTGTTTGAAAACTCAACGCTAATTGAATTGGACGAAGAAATAGCAGCCCAGCTACTAGCCATTGGACTGGGTGCATGGCCGTTGCGTCTTTTGTGGCTCGAAACCGTGCTTCAAATCTCGTTATTGAAAGTAAACCCCGAAATGGAGTCGGAAGATTTAGAAGAGCTTTCTTATTACATGGGCGAAATTCGGCAAAAATGCGGAGACGCAGATACCTCTGAGTTGTTAGCAATACTTTCGGAGTTCACCAATCTAGGCAAAACTGAACTGAAAACAGCATTACGCAACTTGTATCGAAACAAGTGGGTTTTGGATAAAAACACTAAAAGCATTCTCCGAAACCACTCGAGTTCTGAATGGAGTTACAATGTTTCTCTAAATTTGAGGTCTAGCCAACCGCGTAGCATTGAACAACTGACAAACCTCATGGAGGATGATTCTACAAACAGTGAAAGGGTCCAAAAAATACTACTTTCCTGTAAAAACAAAGTCAATAAAATCGAAAAAACCGGAAGTCTCAGAAGCAATATTCTAGTCTTATTCAAAACAAAGGCAAGGGGCGAAATTTTTAGCCTTAGATGTCAAGAATTAAATCTTAGATCAAAAGATTTCATACATAAAATAAAAAGTGAAATAGCTAGGCTCAACCGGAAAGTTAGCGACAATAAAGAAAGCGTCTTGAAAAACATTTCTCAATGGACGGAAAAAGATGTAGAAAATTGGGTGAAAAGCTTTACCTGGGACTATTTTAAGGACATTAAAAGCAATTATTGGATTGAAACTCTATGTGTAATAGATCAGGCAATTTACCTCAAAGTTGGTTTTCACTTACGAGCCACTCAACTTCTGGCTGTTGTCATTTTCATTGAAACAGGCAATGCAGGAATTCTCGAACAAATTTCTACGGGCGAAGGAAAGTCTCTTATAATAGCAACGCTTGCTATTTACAAAGCTCTTGTCGAAAATGAAAACGTCGACATCATTACTAGCTCAGTGGTTTTGGCAGAGCGAGATGCGAAAGAGCACAAAGAACTGTACAGATTGTTTGGTTTAAATGCAGAACATAACAATGTCGATGGGATGAACAAGAGACAGGAGATGTATTCTAAGTCCCACGTGATCTACGGAGACATCAGTTGTTTCCAGAGAGACCTGCTCCTAGACCGATTCTACAACGTCGGTAATGGAATCGAGAGTCGCAAAGTAGGCTGCGTGATCGTAGACGAAGTAGACAGCATGTTGATAGACAAAGGGAACAACACTCTCTATTTGTCGCACAATATTCCAGGTATGGACGCTCTGGAACCTCTGTACGTTCATATGTGGACTGTTGCTCATGCTCACGGAGTAACAGGAAGCGAAAAGGACGTTGCAGCCATAGAACTCACCACCAGACAGGCAATGCATCCTCTTCTCGTAAAAGATGAGCTTCGTGATAGAACTGACGTTGAAGAGATGAAACTAGAACGAGTTTGGGAGGAACTGATCCGACTTGAAATCATAGACAAACACGGAGAAATTTTAGATGGAAATCAACTGTTGACAGATAGCAAAACACTCAATAAATTGCACAAAAACAAAATTGAGTTGACATATTTGGAAAAAGGAAAAATTGTTTCGTTGATCAAAGATAGCAGCAGGCGAAGAACGACTGTTGAAATTCCAAATAACCTTAGACAATTTGTTGGTCTTCATTTGAAGGAATGGGCAGAAAACGCACTTCTGGCGCGAAGGATGAACGTCAATGAGGACTACATTATTGACATTGATCGATCGGAGACCGCACGACGAACGGAACCGAACATCGTTATTATGGACAACTACACGGGAGAAGAGCAGTACTCCTCGCAATGGAGCAGTGGCCTCCATCAATTCCTCCAGCTCAAACACTCCTGCCGTCTCTCAATGGAATCCTTGAAAGCCGTATTCATATCAAACACTAAGTTTTTTGAGAGGTATGGGTCCAATTTGTTTGGGCTTTCAGGTACGTTGGGTTCTCAAAGCGAACGGAACTTTCTAAAAAATATCTACCGAGTTGATTTTTGTAAAATACCTACCTTTAAGGAGTCTCGTTTTGAAGAAATTACACCAGCCCTTTTCAGACATCGAGACACTTGGCTCAAAGCGCTCACGCAAGAATGTGTAAGGATAACGCACGAAAAACAGGTTGTTTTGGTTATTTGTGAAAACATAGAGCAAGTCAACATAGTCGAAACTGCTTTTAAAAAATTGATGCCTGCAAATAGCCCAGCAAACACTTCAAAAATGGCAGTTGGTGAATCCAAGAAGTTTCTAGAATGCCCGCTGCACGTTTGCACGCGCAGCTATGTGCCAATCGTTGGGAGCGAAGAAGAAATTACGGAGCCGTGCGTCATAGTTTCCACCAACTTAGCCGGCAGAGGTACGGATATTAAGATAAACGAAGAGCTCAGCGAAAAAGGAGGCTTACATGTGTGTGTAGCGTACATGCCTCCAAATGTAAGAATTGAGGAACAAGCCTTCGGAAGGACTGCACGGAAAGGTCAAAAGGGAAGCGGCCAAATAATCTGCTGCGATGAGACGAAAACCTCCCAAGATAGAGTGAGCTCGTTTGCCGACTTCTTTCAACAGAAGACAGAGCGAAACAAAAACGAGGAGAAAATTGTGAACGACCTCGAAGCTACCTACAAAAATTACACCAAGCCTGAAGAAAACCTACTTGAACAGTTCAAGGATTCATACAAACTGTTGAGTCAACATCTGATATCCAAAAACAAAGGAATTTTGAACCGACTGTTTACAGATGTCAAAAAGAAAGAACAAGTTATGAATATTATTCTGAATAATTGTCTCGACAGTTGGGCCTTTTTGCTAGACCAATTAGGTGCCACACAAAAACATGATTTGAAAAATGCGTCGATTAAAGAGTTTTTGAACAAAATAAGCGACGCGATTGAGCTCGACAATGCTCAAGAGCAACTCATTGATCGGTCAGCGCAAAAGATTCAGTATGCAAACCTTATCGAGGATGATACAGGACTGAAGAAACTGAACGAAGTCATTTCTGACGACTGCCATTATCGCGCGATAGCCCAATACTATTCTGCACATTCACTAATCAAGAAATATAATCACAACAGGAAAGATAACCCAAGAGAATGCGAGATGGTCTTCAAACTCCTCAGAAGCTCCCTGATGAATCTGAAAAATCGTCAAGAGAAACTGGCGGAGTGGATTGTGACGGTTGGCGAGATAGCGAAAAGTTACTCAAACACGGGTCCCAGTTTTGTACTAGTCAATGACTACGAAACTCAAAAACAAGAAATAACTGGAATTTTGGAAGTATTTGTTGACTCTATTCGGAACGTACTGGGATTTGAACTCTCAAGCAGTCTAATACAGTCTGAGGGCATTGATCCGGATCAAGCTCAGCAATTTCTGCAGGAATTAATCTGTAATAAGCTAGTTAAAAACCCCTGCGTTGTTTCGAAGCAATGGTTAGAATTGAGGCAAAAATACGCATTGCACGAACAAGATATTGACGCGTTTCTGGACAGAAACGAAGGCAAGGAAATCAAGAAGGATGATATGAAAGGCTTGTTGCCAAGTCGCGAAGACTTTTGGGATGAAATGCGAAAAAGCAGATTTATAAAAATGAAAAGCGATTTGTATCTTTGCAAGAAGAAGCTGCGAAAAATTTACTGGCAGAAAATCATCCGAAACTTTACGAAAAAATTAAACAGGCTTTTTCTGAGACAAGCCAGGCAAAGGCAATTCTATTGAACAAAAGTGACAGAAAAATTTGGCTATATCATGAGCAACTCGAAGGTGTCAAGGATGGAACTCTCGTCCCAATTACCAGACAAGAGTTCGAGGAAAGGTTGGAATCCTTCGAAAATTATACATCATTATTCGAACAGGATGTTCTTCGCGAAAATTGCACGGCAGTTTTAGTTAATACGAACGTAGTGCTGAGCAGGTTCTGTAGTGTAACAAAACACACTTTTCATGCAATTGAGGGCGTGGTCGAGAAAAGTGCTCAAGACATCATGGACGAGTTGAAGCGCGAAGGCATTCTGGAAGACAAAGAATCCAGTCCGCATACTGTGAACTTCGGAAAACTCAAGAATCACAAACTGGTCTGTTACCCCCAATTTCAAAGTGAGTTCGAAAGCTGCATTGAAAAAGATCTCCGCTACTTGTCTTGTCTGCAGAAACTCAAATCACAACCTCCAAAGCAGCTCGAAATAGAGCTTAATGTTATGCCCTGGCTCGAATTGTGGGAAGATTTAGTAGATATTGGTTGCATTAAACCAACATATCCCAAAGCAAACAAATTGTGCGATGAAGAGACAAAAAAGTAGCAGAAGTTTTTTTCAAAAACGAAGTTCCGACCGATGATATGAAAACATTTGTAGATGATTTATGCATCCGTATGGAGCAGTGTATAAGCCATTTGCGGAAATTCCCCACTCCAACCAGTCATCTCAAACCACTCAATGTAGCTTTCGAAGATAAACTCAACACCCCCGGAATGTCCTCTGAAATCAATAATTTTGTCAACAATGGTATGTCTGGCATTATAGTTATCTCTCGTCGACAAACAACTTGGGACAAAGTTGTAATGGTGCTTCCGATTATTGCGATAGGCATTGTGCAAATTGCATTGGGGGTTCTCATCACTTTTTTTTCTACTGGTTTCATGTCTCTTGTGGGCAGCAACCTCGTCGGTGAAGGGATTTCAGACCTGCTTCACGCGGCAGAGTGTTTTTACTCTGGTCATTTCAGCTGGAAAGCGTACGCTAAACACAAAGCTATCAGTTTAACTTTTTCAGTCTTCACTGTGGGATTGGGCGCGCTTCTGTGCCGAGGAGCTCAGATGTCGAAGTATGGGTTCAAAATTGGGGGCGAAGCTATGGCTCGTTTGGCAGGAAAAGAGCTAGTTGAGGCAGTGGGGGCTAAAGTAGTGGCCAAAACAATAGCAAAATTAGTCGGAAGGAAACTCTGCGTAGTAACTGCCAGCTGGGCGGCATCGCATATGGCCGATTTATTTTCAAATAAAATCGAGGAATTCACAAGAAACGCGTTCCAGTATATCATTGAAAAACGAGACTTTTCGAAGCTGAAGTCAGAAGTCAAAAAGACCTTTCACAGTCTGGGACCAAGTTTAACGCAAAAAACACTGGATAAAACTTTACTAGACGTTTTTCAGAACAAAGATAGCTGGACTGCTTCTCTATCAAGTTGCGCAAATCGGTTTATTTCTTCAATCCAGAAAGCTTCGAGACACGCCGGTGCAAAAGGTGCAGGCGTTTCGTCTGGTGCCAGTAAAAAAGCTGCTACTATTATAAAAATTGGCCAAATTTCAAAAGTACTCTACAATTCAGTTAAAATTATAACTCACGTTGATAGGCACGTTGATCAAATTGAAGGATCTCTCAAACGGAACTCAGAAGAAGCTAAAGAAAAGCAGGCTTCATCGTCTCCGGCTGACAGTTTGTCAAATCAGAAGACAGCAGACGAGATAATTGACCTTTTCATTCTAGATTGCAAGAAGCATCTCGCAAAGTCTGTGAGCCACGAGTTCACCCGAGAATTTCTAAAGCCGGCCACTGAGTTTGCATTGAACTATTTGGCACAACAGGCGAATGAAAAAAAAAAACAAATATGCGATAAATACCACATTGGAGAACAGAAATTGCAGTTCAAAAAACTTCAAAGGAAAATACATCAATCTGAATCAAATCTAAAGAATTCTGGTGTACCTCAAGAATTTATTCCGCGCATTATTCAAGAATGCTATCGTAATGAAATGATGATTTTGCTGGAGAATACCAAAAGTCCGGATCTTTACGCAGAAATGGTAGAGTCGGGGTATCCTGTAGGAGCCATAGCGCTTCAGCAAGCTGCAAAAATTGCCAACAGTAACCTTGAAATCCTTGGAACGGATGGTAGCCAAATCCATATGGTGAAAATTTCTAAAAATCAAAACCATACCAAGTCAATCGTATACGATAAAAAAACACAAGAGTACATTGATTCTTCCGGGTTGAGAAATCCTTGTCTAATCAAAGCTCTGGAACAGTCTGGCGTTAAAGTTACCAAGGAACAATTTGTAGCCGAACTCCGAACTGATGATGAGCTGCGTGGTTGCGGCAAGTCCGGAGTCGAGCTGAACCTCCACAATGTAATGAGAGGTAAACATCCCAGCAATCAAAATGGTGAATCATTTATTGTTAAAACAAAACAGTATGAAGAAATTCGGAGATTCAGACAGCGCGACAAAGTAGAAAAACTACTAACAGAACGGCCAATCTCATATATGCAGGCAGGATTTCGGTCGACCTTGTTGGCATCGGGCGTCGGAAAGAGTGTCTTCAAACAGCAAACAGATTTCATAGAATGCGCTGAAGCAATTTTGACAAAAGCCGATTTCAATATTCTTAAAACAGATAACGGACTAAAAGTGGTCGACTGCCAAAAAAAAAGCGAGTGGTTTCATTCCGTTTCCGAGACTTCGCTCGAACAACACAACATGGGATTGCTTAAAAGCTTTGAAAAAGGTAACAATCCTAAAAATGCTCTCGGAAATATGTTCACGCAGCATTTGAAGACTGCCCCGTCTGTATACGAGTTAAAAGAAACGGTTGTTGACGGACAACAAGATTACATTGCGTACATTGAAGGCTATAAGTGGAACCGCTACACACAACTATGTATAACTCAAGAATGTCATGGCAAAAATTTAGACGAGGAGCTGAAACGAGAGAAATCCTCGATGGAAACGAAACTCGAGCAGGAACATTACCAACGCATAGCCGGAATGGTTCAGAAAGGAAGCGGAGACGTTTGTTTTCTAGCAAAGCTAATGGGACAAAGCACACAACCTACTGAACCTATCGAACCATTAAGAAAGAAAAACAGACGCAAGAAGAAATTGAATAAAGCGGAGGTAGTTTGATTGAACCAATTCTTGATTGTTAAACATATATTTCTAACTTCTAACTTCCCGGTGCTCATACGCAACCCGGGTTGACCTCCATTCACAAAAATGCCGGTCATACAATTCCATACTATGAAAATGTTTACCATAAAATTACGATAAAGAAAAATTGTATGATAGGTAGTTTTTATATGGCTGCAAAACAAAATTCAACGTAAAATTTCCAAAATGCAGGGAAAAACTTTCACTTCCTTAAGTTGCAATGTTTTTATGCTCAAACAAACATTTTTCAATGATTCGAAGTTTTGGTCAACCTGGGAAACCGCAGAAATTCAAAAAACCCTGTTGAAAATAGTTTCTTCAATTATTTCTTCTCTGATCAATACGCGGCCAATTTTTTTTCGAATTGTAAGCTGACTCCACAGCAAGACTGAGCGAGGCTCTAAAATCAAATTCTTAAAAAGGCTATTTTTTCAGCTTTTTATTTTGGGAATCTGGAGAAAAATGATTAAAATCTAGTGCAGCTCGATATTCTCTGCTCTTTCCCTCGGTGCTTGGACTTTTCTGCTTGCTGTATGCAACGAAAAAAATCACGTTACAATTTTTTTGTGATATTTTGATAAATGAAATCTCTAACAAACTTTGAAAAACTTAAAGACTTGTTCGCAGATTGCAGAGACCAACGCACAACAAATGGCGCGCCTAATGAGAATGCAGTTTGACCTCGTAATGATGCGATAACCATCTTCATTATCAGTTTAAATCTAATCCAAAAAATAATTGACTAGATTGTGTTTTAACAAACTAATGTAAAGTTTAAAATACTCACTTCTCATCAAATAATAGAAGACATTTGAGCACCTAAATAAAGCGAATATAACCGCGGAAGCTAACCTACTATCAAATTATTTGCTAGACGACTATCTTTAGCAAACGAAACTAACACTGATATTAAAATTGTACATACAAAACAGTTTGTAAAAAAGTAATATGATGTGTACAAATAACAATATTCATTTATAATATGATTTGATTTTTGTATTACTCGACAAATTGTATCAGAAACCTTGCTTTTCAATTTTGAGTCAGAAAGATTGGAAAACCAAACTTACCTTAAAACACACGAGGGTACAAGATAGAAGCCAACTAAAAGAAAGTCATAAGAATGTAGTCGAAATCTAAATGTTAACAAGCAATTCAATCTGCTGCGATTTTTTTTGCTGATAATTTGGCTAGGTACCAGTGTAAGTTGACAATGAGTACTTGGCATAATACGGCATAGGTAGAGAGCAATTTCAACAAAGCCTTGTTTTCCAGCAAAAACTCATCTGCTTAATATTACGCTCTCTCTCTCTCTCTCTCTCTCTCTCTCTCTCTCTCTTTCTCGCTTAAAAACTCCAATTATTTTTTCTCTCTCAGCACTTCTTCTGCCACTACCAAATTTCATTCTCGATTATTTCTTCTTAAAATTACGCCCTCTCAAACAAAACAATGGCTCAACTCAACCTCACCATTTTTTGAAAACACACAAGGACTTTTGAATATACAAAAAAAATAAAACGAAGAACAAAAATGCTTTTGATTAAATGGGGCAATTAGTTAATCTGAAGAGCACTTGTTTAGGTTTTTGCTCTTTTACAAACTGTAGGAAACTATCTTTGTACTGGTCGATTGAAGCTGTCGTAAAAACACAGAATATGAGAAAATGAGGCAAGCACTAGCCAATATTCTCGGAGCTTTCCTTTTCATTGTGTATTGAGCAAAGCAATTTAATTTTTAGGTAACCTTGGAGAGGAATCAAAGGGAAAACGTCAGAGAAAAATGAAAGTTAGTTTAGGATGTGAAGCTCATT